ATCTTTCTTCTGACTTCCCTTTTTTTTTTTCCTAGTGGAAAAATTTGAGGAACCAAACTAAAAAAAGTTAGCTGTGAGACTTTTTTTTTTTTTTTTTTTTTTTTTTTTTTAATGTGTGCACGCATTTGTTTTCCTACTTAAAACTGTCTTGAAAGTTTTGGTTTTCTGGGTAGATACAGTTTAGTAAGGGTATTACACTCTCTTGAGTAGCTTACCTCTTCTAATCTTAGTACTATAGCCAGTTGTCATGGTCTCTTCTGAGTTGATTGTCAGATCTTCTCAGGTGTCCAGGTCTGCCTGCAACTTCAAAGGTTCTTGTTTAATAGGATGAGGAAAACAATTTTTGAGATAAAGCACTCGAAGGGCATTTTTTGACTTACTGAACTCTGAGTGGTCCTTGTACCAAAAGGCAACTCCAAAAAACATATTCACTTAGCAACCAATGACTTAAGGGGTTGCTTGTTGGTAAAGGTTGGACATCTATTTCCATAGTCCATCAAGTTAACAAATGACTGCTGTTTCTTAGGCTGAGTGGGGGAAAAAAGGTCTTGCTTTTGTTTATGAAAGTCTTAGCAGTACTTGTTTGGAGGTCTAGGTTGTCCTTTTTCTACTTAATAGTATTGATGTTTCACTTCGCCTTGTCTTTTGTCTTCTAATTTTCTATATCTTTGTTAGAGATAAGTTTCTGCTGTTTTCTCCTTGCTGTTTCTACATGGGGATTTCATTAAGCAATCCTTAATAACTACTTGGACCTTTTGAGAGCAAAAGGCATTTGAGGCTGAAAAAATCACATAAGTAATAGTATTTTGGTTCATTAGCACTACAGATTTTTGGCCTTGGTCTTAGAAAATGAAGACTTAAAAGAAGATGATGCTTCTTGATGGAGTTTTTTAACAGGAACGCTTATTTGTGAAGAGTGCTAGCATTCTGCCAACTTAGCTGATAAGTAATTTACTTATCTTCACTTGAAAGTTAGTTCAGGATTCCTTAAAGAGAATGTCTCTGTCTTCCTCTTCTTCACATTCTGACTTAAAAACAATAGAAAAAAACCCAAAACAACAGAAACCCGCTAATTTCAAACTCAGTGTTCTCAAGTTGAAGCATTAGGCAGCTGTGAAAGAGAAATTTAAAGCCTCTTTGGAATTACATGCAGCTGAACATCCAGTCTAATGTCTGTCCCTAGGCTAGGTACTATGTTAGCTAATCTTCGTTTCCACCTAAAAATAATTACATATGTTCCAGTACACTGGGTAAAAACTAAACAAAACCAATATTTATTTACCTGTTTTTACATCTGCAGAACAAGCCAGCAAAACCCCCAATAATTGACTTGTATCTGCTACAAGGATACTGCAAGTTAGTCCTTACATAAATAACTTTAATTTTCATGTGTCCAATAAAGGTGCCGCATACCCACATCAGGTTTGTATAGTGACCCTGAAAAATATGTATGCACACACTACTGGTCTTGGAAGTGCTGTAGGACTGGAGATAAGCTTAATAATTTCATCTTTTGCCTGTGAACATAGGATTTGGTGACTGCTCTAGAAGTTCTTGTTCGGTACTTTTCTGGTTTTTTTCTTGCTTCTGAACTCCTTTGTTAAGTGAGGTTCTGTAATGACCTTAACCTTTTAGAAAATAGCTGCCCTTTAGCACCAATGACAAATAGGAAAGTATTGCCTTACTAGTTACCTCAATAGGTGATGTTTCAGGTTTTTAGTAAGAACCTAGAGCCTGCGGTGCCTCAAGTTCCGGAAGAACTGCAAAAGTGGATTTGAGCCTGTCACGAAGAACACAGTTAGTGTGTTTGAACAGTCATACTCAAACAAGGAAAAGAAAGCTTATGCCATGCACTCTTAAACTTTTTGACTGTTGTACATGGTAATTGATCTGAAAGTCAAAGCTAAGTGACTTATTTTTTTACTTTACGATTCTAATGCTCTCCTGCAGTCAGTTTACCAGATTTTTCTTGCTCTATCCATCACTGGGCAACTTAGAAATAGAATGCAATAGATACAAAATTAGCAGACTGCCCCTGAAGAAGAAATGCTTAGTGGGTGCTGTCTGGTTCTCAAACCAAATGCGGATTCTCTGCCACTACTGTATATTTAAAGGTATCGGGCAGACAGGATAATTTGGGGTTTCTAAATACTCTTCAAAACATTAAGTGGTGTGTTGGTTCTGTAAGGGTTATACATTCAACAAATGTAATTCATGTTCCTTTTTTTCTCAGTCAGTAGCTGATCATGAAGCCAATCACTTAATTTATGCATGAAGTAAACTAAGGCAAGATTATATGTGTAGTTAATGTTCTTGTTCACTTTGTATCAAGTGGGAGTGCACATCAAAAGGAATAGAATTTCCTTTACAGTGAAGTTTTTGGATTGTTAAGCATTTTCCTACTAAAATGTGGATGTAAGGTCTTTTTCTTGGACTGATGTGATCAATTAGGTGAAATTAGTCTCATTTTACCGTTCTGAAATGGAAAAATTGGAATCTCAAAAGTGACTTTTGTGCCCAGATACTTAAAAAATTTCAGTTTTGATCTGTCTTTACTACAAAGGTAGCAACAGCCCTTCTAGTTTCAGTAGTATTGGTGAACTTAGATGATGTTTGGGGTATAAATTTGGTGAAATACAACAAAGTATATATATTATTAAGTAATAAGTAACGATAGTAGTAAAACATACTTTCAGTCCTCTGCTAAGAAATTGGAAGAAAAATCCTCAACAGTCTTCAAAAGATATCTAATTTGCTGTATTCCATAATTTAAGGTATTCGGTAGAGCCCTTTGATAAATCTGTTGAGAGCTAATTGTATAGTAGTTTATGAAGGTTCTCCCTAGCTGAAGAGCAGGGGGACTTGCTGTTCTTAGGCAACTCTGTCTCGGCTTGCTCATCAGAACTTTCCACAAAGCAGGCAATGTTTAAACACAAATGGGAATGTAGTTGACAATATTTGAATGAATGACAGTGTCTTAGCTAATGTAATAATATGCCTCTTCCTAGATAGATTTGCATTTGGGATGTAGGCAAGACATTGTGTATAGTTCGTGGTCATGCTTTCTAGCTAGTTCTGTAGAGTTTCCTACTTGCCTGGACTCAAGATGAAAAAATAGGCTGGGTTTGACATGTGGGGACGGAAGGAGAAGGGGTGGGGTACAGTAATCACTGTTAAGGAAACAGGAAATCTGGGCAAGCAGCTGGTGTTGGTAACCTTCTGCCTTAACTGGTCCCTTTAGGCAAAAGGAGCAGGCAATATGTGAAACTCATGCGCTACAATGTTAGGGTTTGGTAACTCCTTGTCAGAAAGATCTGAGAGGTGTTTGGAGATGGGGTGGGACAGGAGGTGCTTTTCTAGTGTGTGTATTTTCTATAGTAGGCTTGTGTTATATTTGACTAATAAGTGCACTCTCTTCAGAACTGGTGCATTCCATCTTAGTAATACTAAGCTGAGAATTTCCTTCACTTCCAATTATCTTTCCTCCCATATTGCTGTCAGCCTTTTAAGAATGAAGGCATTGCTACTAAAAAGGATGTTGTATAAAAATGGTTTCTTAATCACTTTCGTAACTTCCACTTTTAAAAAATGACTCATTTATTGTTGCTGGTGTTGGAATCATTGCTTTGCTTTAGTTTGTGGATGTGGTATTACATTATAAAGTGTGTGTAAATACAGCTTTTACTAGATAACACAAACCAGTTTTCATTCAGAACATTTGTTTTATATTGAGGATAATGCAGTAAATATTTTCTGCAAATGAGGAAAAGACTACTATCTAAATCTGCTACCATATTATTTAATGAAGTTGGAGATACACTCTGAAGATGTAATTAAATTTAATTGGCTGTTAGAATAATGGCAGATTGTCTTTTTTGTGAGACTAGTACTATTGTAGTTCATTCCTAACTATTGTAACTTCTAGCAATTTCAGATGGGGGTGCTTTGGGGGTTTATTTTGATAGAGAAAAGTAGGCTCTCCTACAAAAAGAGAAAAGCAGTCTCAGAAATGTCTGTTGGGAATACTTTCTGTCTGAAGTTTGCAAATACCACAAAAGTACTGCACTTCTTGTGAGTATTTTGGAGTTATCCCAGAGAGAAAAACACTTGCCATACTGAACTAGTTCAGTTCCCCCAGGAGTATTTTCTTACCCATTACTCTTGAAATCTGCACTTGGATTCTCTGCTGGCCCACTCTCGGGTTGCTCTTCTGATCAGTTTGTCACTTTTGGTACCCAAATATGAATACAGAAGCTTAGGGAGATGAACACTTTACTGTGTGAAATTAGGCAAAGGTTTGTCCAGGAGGTGAATTTGTACAACAACAAATTAAGGGCTTTCCTTTTAAAGCAGTTATTGTAAGGAATAAGATCATAAAGCATGAACACAGGCACTGTGGGTTTTAGTAACAGGAGCTTATTGGACTTCTCTAAGATAATACTGAATTTATGCATATTTAGCCTAATCACCATAAGCAAACAAATGTAAAACCCTGTAACGGTTCTAAAGAGCGGCTAGGCTATGAAACTTGTTGGAAGTTTTTATTAGAACAGTTTGTTCCTGGTCCTTAATTAAAAGAGCTAATTAGTTTAATTAAAGTTCTAAAAGTTTAATTACAGTGTGTTGCAATACATATCAGATATTTTCAAAGGGTAAATTTGGATTTCGGGTGCTTCCCTTATTAACTTCTGAGTAATATTAAAAAAAAAAATCAAGAAATGTGATTATTTTTTTTTAAGATGCTCTAATTCTACGCAACTTTATGTTAAACTTTCTAGCCTAAATTGCATCTTTTTCAAATATTTTAAGTATTGTGTATTCTAAATTCAATCATGAACCATTTGTCTTTATGCATAAACTGTCACCTGGAAAACTTTGGGATTTTTTCAGATATGTATTGGAGCTTATTATTTTATTTCTTCTCTTTTATAGCGCTCTTTCAGCCAGTAGCTGTAGGCTCTCGAGAATTTGAGGATGTTGTGAAGATTCTGCATTCATCGTACTTGGAACCAAATTCAGTGTCCAGTTTTAATTACAAGAGAGCCAGCTTAGTTCATAGTGAACTGTTGGAAAAGGAAGTGAGTATATTTGTGGCTTCTCTTTATGAATAAGGTGCAAGTCGACTGAAATTTAATGGTTTTTTCTGACTCTGGAGGCAAAGACCTGGAGCTTATTTTCTACTTAGATGCTTGATATTTAATTGCAAACTTGCATCCTCAGAAATGTTAGCAGCTATTTTTCAGGCAAGTTTAATACTACATCAATCTAAAATCTTGCCTGCCAGATACTCAGAAAAGGCTAAAAGAAAAATTGTATTTGGCACCACTTGTCTTTGTGCGGTTTTAGTTTTCAAAAATTTGCTTAATTTTTATGTATTTTTAATAACCTGGAAAGATGTTATAGTGTCTTATTTGAAAGGCCTGATGCTTCCTGTGAAACTTATGATTAAAATATTTTTCTGATACTACGTTTACATAGTCTCTGTAATGTTGTTTTCCAAGAAGTAGTACTTAAGAGTTGATTACTTGAACTAGTAAGTGGAGCAGCTCAAGTTGAAACACTTCTGTTGTACCATATCTAATGTCTCTTAAATCCAGCCTTGGCTTTCTTTCATGACTGTGAAATAAGTTTTCAGTCTCAGTGCCAAAAAGCTTCACCTGTGGAGTAATAGAATATATAATTGGTTTGCTATAATTATTATCTTGAAAATATGAGGTAAACTCTTGAAGCATTTTTTTTCTGCTACTATAATACTTACAGTTACAGCTAAGGAGAATTGCAACTGATGAAAACCACCTCAGTAGCAGTGAGGTGCAGCTGCAAAAGTACATTCACAGTGTAAGAGATAATGGTCTGTCTCCTAAAAAGAGAAAAAAGCTTATTTCTGAAATTTCAAAGATTATATGGAAGGCATTGAGCTGGATGCTTCTGGATAGTTATGCTACAAAGATAACACTAAAACATAACTGCACAGGTTTGTTTGAAGAGTGTCTCTTCCTTAAAACAACAAAAGCACAAAGAAATCTTTGGGCAGATTAAGCCAGTGGTATTTCCCACGGGTATGATGTTTTTAAAATTTAATTTTAGCATGCTATAGTCTCATTCAAATTATCTTTTGATTATTTTTGTACACTTGGATCTGCTAATGTAGATGGGACCTTAAGACATTGACACTTGAATGTGACGGCAGTAATCTGTCTACGTGTGTTAAGAACTTTCTGTAATAATAGTTCACAGAAAAACGCAGAGAGCTGAAATTTGATGGTCGCCTAGAAAAAGAGCTTTCTGAAACCTATGCATTTCTGATGGTTGATCGGCCTGAGGTAAGAAAACAACTGCTTATAAAATGCTTTCTCTTGTTTTTTCAAGTAAGAATTTTTGGGGTTTTTTAAACTGAGTGTTTTCATTGACACACTTACTAATCTTTAAATTATTTTTGCAAAATTCAGCGCTGGAAAGTATATAAGGGTGGGAAAGATACAGTATTATGTCACCGTATTTAAGGGGCTCCATTTACATGTCTCTGTAAAGTATCTTCTCTGTTTTATAAATAGAAGGATAGATTTTATGGATGGCATGTGGGTTTTTACTGGTTTTGTGGTTTGTTTTTTTCTTTAATTGAAAAGGAATGTCACGTGTTTTTATTGCAGTTGGATTTTGATGTGGGTTTGGTGGGGGTTTTTTGAGTCAAAAAGAGGTTACCTTAAGGGGAAGGTAACCTGTAATATTAGAAAATGGACCTTATCTCTTATCTTCCATGTCCCTTCTTTGGTCATATGTTTTTAGTGAAAGTGATGGAATTTCTGTGCTCCTCCTGCTATTACAGAGCCACGATTTCTTTCTTAAGTATTCAGTCATTTTTCAGGTTTACTTCTGCTTTGTGTATTAAAAGCAACTAATGTTCCTAAAGTGTGTTTAAGGTGTATAGGGAGGCTGATTTCTTTAAGATACGGGTGAGTGTGTAACTGCTTCATACTGAGTGTTTGACTTGCACAGTTTAACAGTTTATATAGTAATTCAGACTAGTCTTACCTCCCGGGAGTTTTGTTTGTAGGGGTTTTTTGGGAGATTGTTTTTGGGGTTTTTTTTTTTTTTAGCTCAATCAAAAGTCTGTAACTGTTGTTTCTTACTGTTTGTTCTGTTCATATTCTGGCTTTCCTGATAGACTTGATTAAAAAAAATGTCTGTTCTCTTCAGATCCAAAGCATATGCGAAAAGGGGCTGCAGGTGGGCCACTCCAAAATAACAATTCTTGGCAGCCCTTCCATGGGTAACTATCTTTTGATTATATGTACTGGTATTATTCAGTATGAGTTGGCAGATAATGTGGTGCAGTTGTGTAAACTTTCAGTCCTTTTTCTATCACTTATTGCAGGAACATCACAGCTAGGTATTTTTAGCAAAGTAGATTGACATCAGAACATTATTTCATAACTCTGTTTTTGACTAGTTCGTTTAAATTCCTTTCCCAAAGGGAAGACCTAATTCTCATTTTGCCTTAAGTCAAACCAATATATTGTGTCTTCCCAGTAAAATTTGGAGGCCAAAGAACTAATGCAATTTATGGCTCTGTGCCTCTCTGTATTTGTACATACATATATATATATATATACACACACACATACATGTATATGCATTCAGAAATACCTAGGAGAAATAGTAGCTCAGCTTAGTATTGATGTAGTTAGAACTGAAGTTCTTGAATCCACAATTCCAAGAAGAGCATAGATAAATTAGAGGCTTGGAAGAGTCATGAGGTGTTTAAGAGATTTGAAAGTGCAAGATGCAAAGTTCCTTTTGTAAAGCTTTTCAAATGGAAAACTAAGAAATAATTTTGTCATCCTCTGTAAGAGTAGTGTGATACAGAGGTGCCAGTGTGAATGTTGAAAGCAGAACAGATGGGCAGGGGGAGAACAAACGTATATGAGCACATAATTTTTTACTGTTTTAGCTGATAAATGTTCAAAGCAGTTAAATACAGACTTGGAATGAGAGGAACTGAAGCAAAATGGATACTTTTCTGAGTACCTGAGTTCGGTTACAGTTATTTGATCTGAGGTAGCTAGACCAATGAACGACTGTGTGTGTTTGACGCCTTCACATCTATGAAATTATGGTTGAAGTGTTGAAAAGCAAGAAATTATTTTACCTTTCTATTTCAGTGTCAATTCACGATTCCAAAACAGTGTATTTTTGTCAACAGTGTGGGATGAAAGATGGCTGAGGATGCCAGTGTTTTCCTGCCTTATTTTTCAATCATACCTTCGCTGCTTATCTCAACGTTGTGCAGTGGGACATTTTACAGAAGGACCTCAGCTGTTTAAAACCAACAAAAAAACCCACACCTGAAAACAGTATCTGTATAGCCTTTGGGCAGGGCTTGTCCTCTTGGCGGCAACACTTCCAGTAATGTGGGTGTCCTTTCAAATTGAGCTTGTGTCTGTATTCTCCTGTGGTGTTTCATGCTGCAGTCGGTGCAAGTAAACTTTTACTCTGTTGTCTTGAAATGGCAAATCGTGAACATGCCTTTTACACCTTCATTCTGATCATATTCCAAAAAGATTGTTTTACCTTTATTGTTTGGTATACATTGAGCTTTAGTCACATGTAATGCTTCTTAAACTTCTAATAATGTTTTAACATTCAGCATAATGTGGCTTTTGGTTTTGTTTGTTGGGTTTTTTTTTTTTATACTCAGGTGTATATATCTCCAGGTATGCTGATTTATTGCAGCCTAATCCTCTAGAAGCTGGAGCAACTGGAGATGTCATTGTTTTTAAAATAATAAAGGTAAATTTATCTTGCTTGGTTTTGAAAGATTATGTTGCTTACTGATAAAATAAAGGTGGTTTTAACCTAACTTACTGAACTTCCATTTACGCAGTTATCTGCTTATAGAGAAACTAGAACCTACCAGGTTTAAAATCCAGTGTTCACACTGAGCTTAAATAAAGCATAGTAAATTTTTATGAAAGGCAAAAATGTCTTGTTTTCCTTGAAAGCAGGAAAATAATGTGCTTCTATAAATGGCTTTTTTAATGGCCTGTTTTTATTTCCCTGCTCTTACTTCCTTTTGTACTTGAAGCAATTTGTCAGTTTTCAGGAAAAAGTTTATGCTTACAATTCTTCTGCTTTATTACAGGGAAAAATGAAAAGCATATACGACCACATTGGTATGAAAGCAATGGAATCAACAGTAAAGAGTGCGTTAGATCCAACACCAAAGCACGAGTGTCATGTTTCAAAGAATGCAAATAAAGTAACTTCCTTGTTGGCTTATCGAGCCTACGAACTTACTCAGGTAGAGGAAAGCTGAACATGCCTTAACTACTTCTTATATAAGAACTTTATAAACAGGACTTTTGAAATGATGGAGATAAAATTACTGAAGATACAATGAATACTGAGCATGTAAAGCTGAAGTCTAGTATATGTTTAGCAGTAGCCCACAGATGCCTGTATTAGAAATGGCAGAACAACATGTCAGCCTCTCCCATTTCCCTTATATATACCTGGACCTGATGGAGATCTCTTTCAGATGAGGATGTAGGTGGAGTAGGAAATAGCTAGGGAATGTACATGGGGACTCGAATGTAGGCTGGGGAGGAGGGGACATGTGGAGTTTGAAGTGTAAAAGTAGAATGGGCTAGTGGGCATTAAATGAGTCTCCTAAAAGGAAAAACATTGGCTAGGAGGGAGCAGCAATTTTCTTTTTTTCTTTTTTTTTTTCTTTCTTTTGTTTCCCTTACCAAATTCTCAGGTTTGCGTATGGTGAGGGAGGAGAGAATGGAGTCAGTTCTAAGCATCTCTGTTCCTCCAGCTGTTCCATCTCTGTTACTGCAGTAATCTATTGCAGTCAGATTATTCCATCAAGTCCATAGATTTCAGGATACTTACTTGAAAGCAACTTCTTTTGACTTCTGTAAATCAGTGCTGGGCACTGAATCAGATGGCTAGAAAATCAATGTTTTAATTTCTCATTACAAACATGCCTTAATTAACACTTTTCTGTAACATTAGGATTTTGTGACTGAAGATGGACTACAAAACTCAGCAATATTTACTTTCCTCTGTGATTTTTTTTTTGTTTGTTTTTGTTAATTGTCCTATACCTCATCAAGAATATACTTTCAAATAAATGTTGCTAAATTATTTTTTCATTGTTGATTAGCTCCTGAAGTAGTGTCCATCCTGTTGGTGTTTGATAAAGGAGGGAGGAGAAGGTGAAAGAATTACCTTAATTGATTGTGCTATAAAGTGTGTACAAGAACAGCATTTAAAAGCTTCTTTTTGTAGGTATCAGCTTATGAAGAAATAGGCTGTTGGTAAAAAGGAACATAAATGTGATTTATTATAGTAACTTATAACTTCTTTTATATACCATTAAATGTTTGGCATAATGGGTTTTAAACAAACTCCCTTTATTTATTTAAATAATTAATTGTGAGGTATATTTTGTAAGCTATTCCTGTGAAACAGAGTATGCCTTTCAGTACCAGACTGTTAGTATATTTGCAAAATACAGTTTACCGGACTTCTAATTTAACATTGTGTTCCCTTCATTTTCTAGTACTATTTTTATGAATATGGCTTTGATGAGATAAGGCGAAGACCAAGACATGTTTGTCCTTATGCTGTGGTTTCATTTACTTACAAAGATGAAATGGTGCAAGTACCAAAATTCTTGCCCCCATCAAGGTAAGCTAGGAAATGAGTTTTGGAAAGACTGCACGCAGCATGAGGAATTCATAGCTCTTGGCAGTAGTTTAGAAATGACTTAGATGAACAGTGCTGAAATGAATGGACACATCACAGGGACTTAGCATAATAATACTTCTAATGCAAAGCAAGAGGTGACAAAATTGGGTTTCTGCAGCAGGCTGGCCCCTGTAGAAAGCAGTTCTGCTGCTCTTTTCACCTACTTGCCTTCTGCCAAGGTGAAATCCCTGTATAAAGTGGGTTTTTTTGTTTGTTTCACTGAGGAAATTCACAGGCATAAAAATGCTCACAGAATTATCTTGCTTGCTATTCTGATGTTCTGTGTATTTTGTCACTGAACTCTTCACTGGTTTCATCTTGCTGTTTGTGGAGAGAGTATCTAAATGGGTGGTTGATCACAAATACAATACATTACCCATGCCGATAGGAAGGCATCCAGATGTGGGGACTGTACTACGTAGTGCTAAAAATAGTTATCAGGATATCTAAAATAGCACAAGATGCTGCAGCGATGATAGCTTGAGGTTAGAGAGCAAATTATCAGTGTTGCTATTTTGTTAGATTGATAAAATATCCTTAATGGAAAATTCAGTAGCCAGAAGTTTCTGTCTCAACCTAGTAATTCTGTCTTTTTTTTCTTTTTGTTAGATCAAACAGCTTCAACGCAGATAGAAGTACAGGTAAGAATGAGCTGAAGTAGTAAGAACTTATCTTCTGTTCCTGAATCTGCTGTTCAATGGCACTTCAAATAATATGATCTTCTGTCCTGCTTTTCTTTTGAACCTCATTCAAGCAAAATACTAATGTGCATGAAAGTGGTTGACAATTAAGGTAAGGCAAGAGGATATAATTCCACAGATGTTGGTGTCAAGGGCATGCTTATATAGACAGGTGCAGGTAACATACCAACCTCCTTTACTCTGCTCAGAGCAGGTCAAAACAACATAGGATTGTAAACATCCTTTCAGTTACCTTTTAATTTAATATTTAACATATTATTGTCTGGTCTGGTATTGGGATGAAACTTTCCCTAAACTGCTTTTGGAGATTCATCAGTCTCTTCCGTTTCCTTTCAGTCCCACCTAGCAAGTGGTTTCACTTAGTCTTTCTTTCTCCATTTAATTTAGATAAATCTAACTATACATTGTGGAGGGGACAGCTTTGGAATAAAGGCAAACTTTTGTGCCATGTTTCCTTGAAATCAGCAGTGTGTCCTTTCCTTCCATGCAAGCTGTGAGTATTACCGTTTAAAGAGTAAGTTTAAAATATTTCTGTGTTAAAACTCCTTCTAGTAGACTGCTGAATTTTGGATATATTGAGATGAAAATCTAAAATACACTTTGACTACATGCTTTGAATGTGCCAGACTAGACTCTTGAGTCATGCGTGTTCAGAGCTGCTTTTAGTTCATGCACGCAACTCTGTCAGCATCATTTTGTTTGTTTTTCCCTTTGAAGTGACACACACTCCTTTGCAGGAATAAACAGCACTGGCTCACAAGATAGTCCAAGGAACTGATTTTTAAGAGCGTGTGTTTGATAGTTCTTATTTGGTCAATGAAGGTAGGACTATGGGGGGGGAAAAAAAAAGGTCTTTATTTTTTTCTTTTTCTCCCTCTCCCAACTCTTCATCTCCAGTCCTGAGAAGCTTGAGGTTGAAAAAGTTGTAAGCATTGATCAACTGAAGAAAAAAATTTCACCAGCATTGTTCTATAAAGAAACTTACCTAGGAGCAAAAGAAGGTAAATAGTTCTAGCTTAATTTTTTTAAATTCAGAATTTTAAAGTTTTCTGCATTATAATTTTGTTTCTGTTTTTCTTACCTTCTCTTTCTACCCTTGTATTATTTCAGTGTTGAAGAACGGCATGTACTGTAGCCTTTATGAAGTTGTGGAGAAGTCCCGTTCTGGTAGTCACTTGGAGGGTTTACTTCAAAAGCTAGAGAAAGAGAAACTTGTGAGTGCAACAGATTTGACTATTCCTGTTTCTAAAAATAATTTTACTAACTAGTAATTGACGTGTGCTACAAGATCCATGATCTTGCTGGAATTCCCTCGCTGGCATATTTTAAAGTATTGTGTCAGGACACTTCTCTCTACCCACTGATGGAATTTAGTTTACAGACAGTAAGAGTATTTGTAATGAGCAAATGTCTTTGTTTGAAATGGTATACTTTTCTGGCTTGAAAACAGGTTCTTGTGAAACCACTTCTGGACAGAGGATTTCTTTTTCTTCTTTCTCCTTGGCAAATGAGTTCCCCTTATGGTATGCATACTCTGGGATTTTTTGGTTTTGAGTTGTTTGGGGTTTTTTTTTTTTTTTTTTTTTTGCTTTTTTGGTTTTGAGTTGTTTGGGTTTTTGGTTTTTTTTTTTTTTTTTTTTTAGGGGGTTGGGGTTTGGAATACTTTTGAAGCATAGCGGTCGTCTCCTTCTCAATTGATTTTATTTTCTTGTGTTCTAGACCACCAAACTGCACGTCCCCGTATGCTACATGCATTGTTTCTGTTTCCAGAACCTAGAGGTATAATGAGCTCAAGTAAGTTTATTCACTGTTGAGAGTGTTGTGTATGTGCTTATTCAAATGTAGTTTATATTCTGTTGAGGACTTCATAGTGTTCTAGCCTGTCAGTGTAATCTAGGAATAACAGTTTGCATTGGTTATGGTCATGGTGATGGTGTTCAAAAAGTGTATATTTCTTCAAAAAAAGTAATTATCACACTACATATTTTAAGTTTGTCCATATTTTAGAATGTAGAACTTTGTTCGAATTTCTTGATTGCTTATTGTAGTAGAACTGAGCATCAATATTCCAAGGGATCTGTGCATTAGTAATAACATTGCACTATAGAGATTTGAGGGCTTTCTTTAACCATCAAATCATTAAGGGCAAAACATCTGAAAGTCTTTAAAGTACCTGTAACTTTTTTTTTTTTTTTTGCATTGGGATATGCACCAAAAACTGAGTAAATGAGCAAAGAAAATATTGATACAACCAGGTAATATAAGATGACTGAAAGGGCTTGGCTTTAGTAGAACTTTAATGCTTTGGGATAAGACTTCAATCTTTTACAGTTGAAATTTGCAGTAAGTAGTACTAGCAGCAGAATGCAGTCCTTTTTGGCCTGCTGTGAGTTAGAAGTGATATTGTCAAAACATAGCTCTTTCCAGGCATTTTACAAAGAAGTTCTTGTCCTAAGTCTTGGCAGCTTTCTAGATTCTTATCTCTGTATTTCTTATTTTAATAAATCCCTTACATTTTTCTTATTTAAGTAACAGTTGTGAAAATTCAACCAGTTATAGATTGGGTAAGAGGAGGTATGATGTAAGAGACATTTAAAGTGTGTGCATGCCAGTTCCTTAAAAATACTCCAATTCTTGCTGCTGTGACATTTCAAAGGCTTGTGAGTTCCAATTTCTGTCAAACGCAAGATTAATCACTGGTTTGAGTCTTCAGAGGTGCTTAAATGGTTGAATGGAGAAAAGTTTCAGTTGGTGTTTGGAAGGGGGAAGAGTGTAAATTAATAAATAAATTAAAAGGAGGGCATAACTTAGAGCCTTCTTGAGCTGCTGTTTCAAGGATGCGGTAAAAGGATCTAATGGCGTCCCAGGACAGGGAAATCTTTCTCTTGGCACGTGCTCCTGTGGCATCTCTTTGATTTAGTGAGTTGTATTGCTTTGCAAAGGAATGCAAAATCTTTATAGGATCCTGCTGGGTTACGAAGCCGAATCATTTTGTAAGGGTCCAGTGAACTTAGAAGCAGCACAATGAGCGCATCAGGATTATATAGGGAGGAGTAATGCTTCCCATGTTTCTTGCAGGGAGCTGTTAGGCTGCTTCTTAGTAAACAGTAAGTCTTTGAAGTGGCCTTCTTCTAGAAGGGTCAGTAAAGTGATTTCAATTGGAAATGGTATATGTATCTAGGGTACAGGTTACCACAAAATTAGGAAAATGAGCAATTCATCAAGACTATAAGTAGGTTGACTTTTAAAATACTTCACAAAAAAATCCCTTTCCTGGATTTTGGGTTATTTTTCCACAGTCGTTCCAAACTGTGTTTCACCAAATAATGTATAATACAGAATATTGCTAACTAGTCATCATTTATTTGTAGCTTTATGATTTGATTTTAATTATGAATTCCCTTTTCTCCTATGGCAGCACAAAAAAGTGTTCCATTTGGAACACAGAAAAATTCAACTACCATGGTGTTGCACGAAAATCAGGAAATCATTCCAGAATTCACAAAGTTTATTCAATCTCTACATTTTGCTTTAATCCAGTCTCGTAAAGACGCTACTGCAGATTTCAATGCTGTTGTGGAAAAGTATATAAATGAGTATTTGAAAAGATGCTGTAGTGGCTCTGGAAAACATAGAGAATTTGTAATATATCGGTATGAATCACGGTTGGATGACAAAAAATTTCTTTATTCTGCTCCAAAAAATAAATCTCATATTGACAGCTCCTTGCAAAACTATATTTTTGGTTGTGAGGCATATCAACTACCTGTTTCTAGAGCTAAGGAATTGATGGAGGGAAATCGGAAACTTCAACAGTTCAGTCCCATCTCAGATTATGAAGCCACAGAAGAAGACTCTGATTTTGCCAACACAAAAAGTGGGAAAAGAATCCGTGCAAAATACGAAGCCACTGTTGCCAAGCGAAAACTGCCTCATTCTGGAGATTATGATCCCGATAGACTCAAAGAACTTATTAACTTAATCCAGTGTAGGAAAAAAAATGTAGGTGGAGATTCTGATTCTGAAGACCTTAGAAATAAAACTGGTCTGAAAAGGAAGCTGGAAAAACAGTCTGAAAATCTGCGGAAATACTTAAAAATGAGTGAATCTTCAGAGAATAGTTGTCAGTATGAAGGTAAGAAAGTCTTTGTTTAAAGTTCCTCTTTAAACATTGTAATTCAAAGCATACTTAACATTTAATCTTTAAAGGTTGAATATATTTTGCATACTGTGGATATTTTAGTGCATGGTAGTTAATTTAAACATTGGCCTGAGATCTATCAATAGAGATGCAGTTTATTTTTATATGGGTTGCCTCTTTCTAGAAAGACAAGTTAGCAGGACTTGTCATGGAAGCTGCTTTTGTTCTGCCTTTTTGGAAAGAAGGCAGATTTCCAAAGAATTTTCTTAGCTGTAGAAGTGTCCAAAGATGTTCTAATATAAAGTAGTAAGCAGACTCTGTATCATAATGTCTTTTGCAGAGTTTGACTTTAGGCATTGCTGTAATTCTTTATGGCTCCAATACCCCATATAATACTTCATAAATTTAGATTGAAGAATTAAGCTTCTGAGCATGAGCACAGCTAAGTTCTGAAATAGCCAGGAATGCGTGTAGTGGGACAAAGGCAACAACCTAACAATATTAAGATTGAATTATTCTGTACATGAAATTATCTACATCCAAACCTCAGATAATTGTCACAGATATTATCTGATACTTACTTAAGATCTGCCAAAAAACCCTCTTTGATTTCAGTTTCCCTGACAATGATGCAGGCCTCCTTCAGAAGGGGGAAAATTGGGGAGAAGGGTGGCACAAAAAAGAGGGGAAATTACATCAAGCACTGGTCTTTCTCATGTGTACTTAAATCACTTTGGAAGGTGAAGTGCCTGATGTTAGGAATAAGATTCCCTTTTGAGAGGGACAAAAGATACGTGTGGATGGAGGAGACGGAAGGTAGGCTGCATGCTAGATCTTGGGATTCCTGCTTGAAAGTCTGTGAACCTTCAGGGTCTTTTTACATCGACTGTTGATGTGAAATAAGTGAATGCATTTGTACCTGGCTGTAATCAGTATCTGTTTAAAACTAAATTTTGACTTAACTCCTTCCAGGGGTACCAAACCAGCAACATCTATCTGTAGTTTGAATACCATGGTTTTATATAATCCTGAAAGTAATCCGTTTGTCTTGCAAAAAATCTTAAGCTTAAACATCTAAACATGATTAGATTTCCATATATGATAAATGAGTTAGGAGTTCATCAGGTACTTAAAGTAGTTCGTTGGCCAATCTCTTTCCAGGAATAAATACCTGTGGTATTTACTCATCCAAGGGGAAGAGTAGAAGAATAATATCCCTCTTCTAAAGTTACATTTAGTATAAATAGGCATGGTAAAGTTTTAGAATTATGCTTAGTCTGAGATAAATTGTGAGGTTAAGGATTGAGATACACATCAGCTTCTGGAGCAACAGTAATAGGATGGAGCGAAGTACATATTTTGCTGAAACTAATCTTTTTCTCTCAACATGTGGTGGAGAATTTTACAAGGTTTCCATAAAATACATAGATCATAGTATGTGACTTCTATTAGAACATAAAATGGTATGGTATTGAGTGACCTAAAAAAAGGTAATTATTTATCTGGGGGAGACAGTTAGCCTTTGAAACTGCCTTTTTATCAATGTCTACTTGTTCAAAAATTTTTTTGTTAAGAAAATAAATGTATGTGTACTGTATGACTTGATGCTAAAGGGTGAGACTGTGGGTACGTGGTAGGTGTTTGGGGGGGGGGGGCCTGGTTTTGCTTTTATTTTAAAATTTAGTAATGGATTACTTTTCCCCTCCTCCCCCTACTCTAAGGGGGCAGAACCTCGGATTCGCCACACTCTGTTTTCTCAATTAATACTGGTCTTGGTGGACATGATACTGACTTGAGGCAGCAAGATGTATCCGACCCTGCTGTTACTGACACACATGGCCTCATTAAACTGCTTTTAGAAACACTAGCTAGTTCAGGACACTTGGATTCATCGTTGGCACAGTCTGTAAATCAAGCTTTAGGATTAAGCACTGATGAAATTGAAGAGGATCTGAGACAAAAATATGAATATGAATCCATTCCAGCACAGGACAAAGATGATCATGAGCTTCCTAATACTGCTCAGGCTGAAAATGTTAACTTTAAGGATCCACAGAGCCCAGTGATACTGGAAACTGATGCAGCATTCTTACCCTACCCTGTTGATGTTGATTTACGGCTTTCAGCTAATGAAGTAGGCCTTGAACACACGCTACGTTTAAAAGTAAGTGAAATTGCTATTTCAGTAGATGATGATGATGAATGTACTATTTCCATAAATATTATGAGACAATGAAAAAAAATTGTATTTTTTTACATAGGTAAACATAGATCAGCACTAACTTTCTGTGAAGAAGCTTTTCTGTTTGGTAGGGGCATGTATGGAAACTTACTTGACTCCAAGATGTGTGTTCCTGGTTCTTTGTCTGCTCTTTGTGTCATAGAATTATAATGAAGAATACCTGAAAGATGGGAAGCAACCATGGTCAGTCTTCTTCACTAGCTTTACAATAAGTCTCATATGCAGCTGTTCCAGCAATAGGCAGCAAAACTTCATTCTGTTGAGGAATGCTGTGTATGAGGGTGTTTTTTGATCTTTGCTGAGACCAAAGCCTTGCAGTTGTCTTCTCTCTCTTGTAGAAAAAAGATGCTTTACTCTGGCTCTCACCTTGCTTACAGTGGTGGTGGTTTTTTAGTTATTTAGGAAGTTGTTGCATGGGACAGGTACAGTGTTACTGTACCAGCTTACATACTGCCTTCCATCTTCTTCCTCCTTTGGGGGAGATTCTTGGTCTGGTTAGGGTATTGAGGTTGTTTGAACCCTGAAGCACACTTTTGCCTAGCAGTTACTCTTCCCGGAAGTTGGTTGTTCTTCCACATGGACTCTCTCTCAGCAATGGTTGCAGGGCAGGCCGTTAATGATTGTGTACTACTTAGTCTTTAACTTTATAGACCTGATAGGTGCTTTGGATATGACAACTTGTCATGATTATGAAATTCCATCTCGGGTGCAGAAACAAGCCTTTTTTTGACCAGGCTTCTCCCAGATCTAAGTTGAGACAATCTCTTTCAAAGCTTATGCACCTAGAAGTCTTCCCCCTTCTCCCTGCAAATGCAAATAAAAAATAAATATCTTAGTCGTAGGCTGTATAATTTCAAAACTTTTTTCACCTGTTGCTTTTTTGACATAAGCAAGAAAGTGGAAGAAGTCAAACTGCAATCTGTATTTGATATTTAGAGTTGGTTGGGGGTGTCATAAACAAGAATGTTTATCCATAGGTGGTCAACAGTTGAGAAGCTGTTTCCTTTTAATGATAGCATGCTCTCTCATCTTGATAGAACAGATTGGCAAAACTAAGTTGATTATCTTTGGAAACTAAATATGCTTTATAGGTTCTGGACTGTTATCTTAAAAACAAACAAAACCACCAATGGCAACAGCTTACCTCAGCTGACTGTTTCTGTGTGTGAGTTCGTGACCTTTTCTAGTGACAACACCTCAGGGTTAGTAAAGTGATTCTTCCTGCTTTACAATCCTCAAGCATCCTTTTGCTCTAACTGTAGTTATTGCACCAGTTTTGGGAACTGGTTTTGGTCCATCCTCTTCCAAGTGTATTCTCGCTCCTACCTGATAGTAGCAGGCATTTTATAAGGCAGGAAAACACCCCTCACTTGTGTGCACAAGTGAGGATCCTGCAGTCCTCCTCTTTCAGTCTTGTACTGTGGAAAAGATGATGGACTTGTTTCTGTCCCTCTAGCAGCGTCTGAGTGAGAAAGTGCCAAGAAGTGTGCACAGTGGATGTTCTTGAATGCTCTATGGATATTTAAGATGGTTGGGGAATTGGCATTATTTAGTTCTGGTGGGAGTAGAGTTGAAAAATTCTGAGCACTTACACGCATGCCTAGCTCTCCTTATGTGCCCTCTTGGTGCAGTGGCGTATATGTGTTCCATGCATACTTTTCATGACAGCATATGACTGGCAGAACAGCCTTTGAAGAAAGCTCTTGTACTTAGGGTTCAGAGTGCCCCAGCTGCTCACTTGATGTCATTACTCTACAGAGTGGTTGTTCTATGATCTCTGTTACTGATACTTCTACAGAAAGCCCGGTTTCTAAGTCATGGAGCGGGAGAAAGTTTGTCCTACCTGTAATCTCCATGCTGGTTTGCTTCTAACCATCTGGAATGCCAGATGAAATTGGATTGTTCAAGGGCTTAATACTTGTTGCAGGCAGTTCCTTGGGAATGCCAACATCTCATGGCTTTAGTCGGCTATCAAGATAGCAGCCTGAAAAAGGCGAAGGAGCAGTTTTCCTAATTTTTTTCCCCTCTTTGCCTCCTTTCCTCCCTGCCCCACCCAGCTTCTGTACTCTGAAGCATGTGCTCAGCTCTGCCTCATTTACTTAGTGATAGACCATCAGCAAAGACATCTGTCTCAGGAATTATCAAACAGGTAAATGAAATATATAAGTACTTCGTGTAAACATTTTCAAGTTTAACATGACTGATGGCAAAATTTCCAATATGCTGGTGAACTCAGGTGCGTTCTTACTTTCAGCTGTTCAGAATGTAAAAGCTTAATAGTTACCAAAAAATAAAAGTTTTGAGCTGAGAATTTTTATTGGTGTTTGTGTTTGGTTTTTTTGTTTTTTTTTTTTTTTTAGGAAGCAAGCACTGGAAGTGTAAGTAGTTTTGAAGACTACAGTCCCTGTCCTAGTACACCTATAGAAAATGCTTATCGCAGGCAACTTTCCAACTCAAATAATATAGAAGTTGGAATGCACTGGAAACTTATACCAATTACAGGTAAGATGGGTTTTAACTCTTATGTTGCTACAAATAGTGAATGAAAACATGTTCTAGAGGTTTGTATCTTTCATAGATCCCGTACTTGGGTATACAAGCATAGATATGGCCTATGCAGTTGTTTCTGATAATTGATTAATACAGAAATCTGCTGGATGAAAACAGATACTGGTGGAGAATATTGCTTTGGGTATGTACTGACATATTTTAGAAATGTGAATGGTCGAGTAATTATCTAGTGAGGTACATAACTGTTTTGAATTCAGTGTTTGAACTTGCTAGGTTCTGCTGAAAGATTGGATGGGCGGATAATTGCAACTAGCAATCCAGAAAAGTAATGAAAAACGTGTTCTCCTTATAGAAAGTAGTCTACTTCTTATTGCATTAAGGTCTTCCACTGAAAGTGCTTTGTCCTTATCTAAACATTTAAGTCTTAAATAATCTTACAGAAGCAGCTTCTTGTTCTACTTCTTGATGAGTCAACAGTGTCAAGTTTGGGGAGAGCATAAAAGCATGGATTTGAAGGATGTGGAAACTGGGCTGTAGGAACAGTCATCAAGAGCTCTAACTTCAAGGCTACAAATTAAGTCATCTTATGACTAAATCCAGATAGAATTTAACTGCATTCTCCAAGTAAAAACTTACTGATTTCTGATTGTGTTCCAGGAATGCTGGAATCTGTCTCTTGGGACACTTCTGATACCTGTCCAGTTGTGTAGTTCAGCAGCTCTTTTTTGTTTGGCTGAGAAGGGAGGAGGGCAGGGGAAACACTTTTCCCCTCACAGTATTCAGAGGCCTTTCAGCAAAACGGCAGGGTAGTTCTAGATAATGTTTTCTGTACTTTCTTTAAGGGCCAAACATTTAAAAATCTGTTCTGATGTTTTGCTGAGTTACAAAGTATGGAGACTGCAAAGTTGTTTGGATAGGACATTATTTCTTTTACTTCTGGAGGAAATGGCCACTGTGCATATAGATGAGGATGTGGTTGCTGAGCTAACTAATTAAGTGGATGATTAAGCATCTAAAAACTGTAATACATTGTAGATGCTGGATGTGGGAGTTTGTGCAAGGGTTAGTCATTGACTGACACATTTCAGAACAAATCTTACTGGAAAAAAATGTCTCTGAAGTCTTCTGAGAGGCAGAAGTACTCTTCTATAGAGATGAAAGAGATTGGCTAAAGATCACTGGATTTCTTGAGTCCCTACAAGGTCAGTTCTTCAAATCAGCTCTTGCTGCAATAAGTATTGACTATCCCTGCAATATGATCATGTAAAAGGTGCTATATAAATACCAAGAAACTCTACAAATGCTAACTGGTGCTGTCCTTCAGGAGGGGCAGGAAGAGTTCAAGGGGATCAGATGTAAAAACATGAAAATAAACAGACAGGTGAGAAGAGTGGGTGGGACAGTTTGCGTATGTCATTATGGCCTGAACTACCAAGCAGCTCATATTCTCACCTGGTTTTGAATTTTCATCAGAAAATCAGATTCGTAATACACTGTTCAGCAAGTGGACTCTTTTTATTGAAGTACATCAAGAAGGCTGTAGGAGAGTCAAGAGACTTTAATGTTTTGGGCTACTGGCACTCGATTTTTACTGGGTATCTCTTCCTGTATAGTGTATTCTAGAGGGCTTTGAATTTTTATTCTAGGGAATTAAGATCAATTCAGTAATGTTATTTAAAGGAAGCTTCATTCTTTTCTGAAACAGATTGCTTTCTAAATCTGATGGCTTCTTCATGTCTTTTATTTCTGTAGCAAGGTAGCTATAGAAATTAGTTCAGAGAACATCAGTCTTTCTTCATCTTTGCAGGAGGGCAAATTAGCTCTCGTTCTTTCTTTTTAAACAAAAATATGGTTTACTTTTGATACAGGGATCGTGTTCAGCTAAACTTATGTTAAGAACTTAACTCCTCATAGTTTGTGACTTGAGAAGTGTGGGGGGGTTGTCTTGCTTCTTCCCCAAGGACATCAGAAACTGTTGGAGGAGATAGTTGTTCATAGGTCCTCAACTTGTCTGGACCACTTCTGTATCGGGTTATTGTTCATTTCTTCATGTTTACGTGATCTAAACTTCTGACAGTAGTAAGCAAATCTGAGTCTTATTTTTGAAAGCTAACTTGGGCACATGTGCATTTTAACAAACCCATCCTAACTCAGTGTTGGTTTGAATTTGAGACTCCTCTTTGGCTTTAGACATTAAGCACGAAAACGGTGTTTGTTCTTGCTTATTCTTCCTTCTCTTGTAAGAGACAATTAATGCATTAATGGACTTTCTTAAAAGTGATGGCTTTTGATTAGATTAATCTTGGATACAAAGACACAGAATGTTCTAGGCTTTCTTTGGCAGGTCATGTTTGAACTTTTGATTTCAAAATCTACCCAAGAATCCTCTTTCTAGTGTCACTGTAGGAGGATGTCCCTTAAGCAGTGAAGAATTTTACTCTAATCTGCAAGGATAACTACTTCAGCAGCCCTTAAACAGCTGTTCCCTCTAAGAATGTTATCAGTCAGTTCTCTTTCTGGTTTTTTTGACATATCCAGTTACAAGGTATTACCAACAAAGAGTATGTTTGAAATCATAAATCATACTTTAATAGTTATTGAGGTGTGTGTGTGTGTTTGTTTGGGTTTTGCTCCTTGCATTTGTTTTTTTGCGAAGACTTGTGGCCCAAAGGTGCAGATCTGTGAAGGATGCCACCTTCAGAGTATTCTATTTAAATAGAGTATTTAAGTTCTCTTCAGAAAATTCTATTTAAATAAGGGTAACTTTGGTTTAAATCATCCTTTTTTTAAATCCTGTTTTTTACATTTTAGAAAAGATTTTGGATTTCACATTCAGCAGTATATCTTTCTGTTTAAATTCTGCTTAATGGTTTTTAATCAAAACCTTTAGTAAAAACTAAGGCTTTCTTTTCTAAAATAAAGTTTCTTTCTGGAAAACTTAAATAATCTTTGCAGAATAATCTATTCAGTTCTTAATCATATATATCTTTAAAACTTTTTTCCTAATATAATTGTTACAGAAACTTTCCGTCAAATCTGGATGAGTGGATTGTGTATTAATTTTTTCAATAACCTTAGGATTTGAAATTTTACCTGTGTTGGGGGTGCAGTCAGGAAGAGCCACAGAACAAAACTTCATTGCTAAAAACTGGTATCCAACTGATATAGCTATGTTAAAATGTAAGGAGTTACAAAAATAGCCCCAAATTTGAAGCCACGGTATAGCTTTTAATCTTACTAAGGCTTGCTTTAGGGTACAATGTTTTTCTTGGTTACAATAGTGATGTAGTTTGTAAGTGTTGAGCAGCTCAAGAAGAATGAGACGCGTAACATTCTCAAGTACCTTTTATCTCAAATGAGCATAAACTTAAGCTTACTTTGTTGAAATTATAATTTGGTACTGAGTTCTTCAAGGTCTTCTAAAATTAATATACTTCTGTGCGCAAAAGGTGTAGATCAACACTGAAGGTACAGGGCAAGAAAAAAGGTTCAAATAAAATAGAGTGGAACTAGTTGGAATAACCTGATTTTTATCTGCGTTTAGTGCTTTTAAAGAAAACTAGAAATTTGGGGTAACTCAAAGGATGTGCTCTGGAGGATGAAGAAAGAACATACAGTTTTCATTGATAAGAAGAATTAAATGGAACCACATTTCTGCTTTCTCTGTACAACTGTAGTAGCATAAAGTAACTGAGGTGATAGTGTCACCTTGATAAAGGGATCCTGGTAGTGACAGATGTTCAAATGATCAAATTAGGGACTCAATATGACTTTCTTAACAGGCTACAAAAACTACTGCATTCCAAAAGAATGCTAACTTTTAGAAACTGTCTATGCTATCTTGGTTATTGCTTCTGTTCCAGAAATGTGGTTTTCTGCTTATAACTGTATTAGCTTTAACAGTAATACAACACTTAAAAAAACTAAAAAAAAAAAAAGTAAACAAAACCAACAAAGAAAACCTCCTTTGCAGTATTTATGGAACAGGTGTATAGTGAAATACCTGTAGGTGTCTGAAGTATCTGTGTGTATCTGTCATTAATTGCTACAAAGCGTTAAATTTGGTTTAAAAAGAAACAAAACCATAGTTTTGAGTGTGGATGGTGAAGAAACAGTGCTGTAGAAATTATCTGAGGTTTGGACTATGAGAGGTTTTCAGTGCTCCTTGCAGCATAACTGATTCTGTGTATCAATAATTAGCATAAGACTTGGATCCTACCTTTTTAAGCCAATAACCAGTTGTGAGATCAAACATGCAGTTTGCAGTCTAACTCCCCAAGGCTGTGTGTGGCTAAAGTAAGCCTTTTGATTATAACCTAGTAGCAAATGAAAATATTTGAATAATTTGTCACCCTGCTTGATTTCTGATTTTTTTAATTTTTTTTTTTTTTTTTTTTTTTTTTTTTGAAACTGATAATAGTCCTATTACACTTACTCAGATGTTATCTCTGGGAAAATTACTTGTGTTCTGCTTTTCTGAGCAAACTTTGACTTTATTGTTTTACTGTCTTAGGAGCTATTAAATTTTCTGTGCTTCTGTACCTCAGCAGACAGTAACAATTTAGTCTTTGGATTTAAGTTGATTGGTGGGGGGAGGCACAACAGTAATGCTGTTCTAAAACTGTGGTTTGGAGGTTTTAGTTTATCAGTAGTGTGTGACTTTCAAACATGAGATGATGATGATTAACTCTTCCTATATAGGTCTGAAATCACCAGAAGAACCACTGGTGTATTTACCGCCAACGGATGCCTTTCCTAATGACCCCCGGGTAATAAATAGACAGAGAAGTTCTGATTATCAGTTTCCATACTCTCCATTTTCAGACACACAAAAGGGGACAGCAGAAGATGGACTTTATACAAGACAAGTGGAGAAACTTGAAGATCAGTGTGGGCTAGCAGATCACCCTTTTACAACTAAGCATTCCATTAGTGCAATAATAGAGACTACACTATTAGAAGAGTATAATCTCTTTGCAAGAAAGATTCAGGAAATTTTGCAGCAAAAGAATATTGCTTATGTTAGTGGTATGTCCACACCAGTCTTCTCTGCCCGAGAGAGGATAATGAGACTTTCTGAATACATATGTTTACAGGCATCAGAGATTTCTGTCCAAGAATATATAGAGACACTGAGTGAAAAGTTGAATAGTGTTATTTTGTCCTCTTCATGCGTTAGGCATACTCCACCAATTTATTCCAGTCCTGAATCGGCAGAAGTGGTCAGTAACGCTGCACTGAATCCTCCCCCTGACACGCTACCTGTTTGCAAGGACTCTGACACGGCGTTGTTATCAGAGCCATTGTGTAATAATGTGGTGGAAGATCTGGATTCTAATGAGCAGCGTTTGTCAAGCTTACCCCTAGTGAAGGAGGAAGTAGATCACATGAATGCTAAACCAGAGGATATATTGACATCTGATCAAACCTCTTCCAGTGGTGATCTGATGGAGCCACCAGAAAAGACACAGAAATCCCCAGAGAACCTAAGCATTTCAACCCAACCAGCCTTTTCTGATTTTATAAGCCAGTTAAAACCTGAAGTTTTTAACAGTTTGGTCAAAATTATTAAAGATGTACAGAAAAACACTGTGAAATTTTATATTCATGAAGAGGAGGAAAGCATTCTCTGCAAAGAAATCAAGGTAAGTATGTTCCAGTTCAGCCTCGCTTTAGTGTTAAAATAGAACAGAGTGCCTTTCAGATCAGAATGTACGAAACTGGACTTGCAAACGTAGACTGAAATTTTTTTCAAAAAAGGCTGAATTGTGAAAGTAGGCTGCCCTGTCCCATTTCTCAGTTGGGCTTCTGAGGTAGTCTTGCTTACATTTTTGACACAAGTCTCTTTCTTATCGTTGGAAAGCAGAACAGGCTGGAGTTTGGTTCTTTCTGAAGATACTGCCAAGGGGGTAACCTTATGGGGAAAAAAGGTTAACAAGGACAAAAACGTGATTGCTTACTATTTTAGGAAGAATGTATGAAAACTCTGTGTGTGTGGTTTAGGGTTTTTTCCCCTTCCCCCCCCCGATAATAGTACAGGGAACTTTTGGAGACTGTATTTAAATGTAGAAAATGGAAGTTGAAAGTAAAATAATAAAAACTTCTGGCTTTACTTGGAAACTCATGCAGGTTTGATAGGCTTGTCAGTTGGCCATAAATTTGTGATTCTGTAAGAATAACTGACTTGCTGAAACAGCCCATTTCTGTGTGACTGCAGTCTTCCGATGACATTAATCATAAAGACAAGGAAACCAGTCCCTCTGAGATTCATTTGAGTGGAAAACTTAACACCGTCACCATGTGGGGATTGTTTTGGCTGAACTACCTATTCACTTCCTCTTCACCATCTTCTCTTTCCGTGGTGTTAGGAATATCTTACAAAGTTAGGTAATACGGAGTGCCATCCGGAACAGTTCCTTAAAAGAAGAGCTGCTTTAGATAAACTCTTGATAATTATTCAAAATGAAGACATCGCCAACCTCATCCATAAGGTATTTCACATAAGTAAACTTGTACTGTAGAAAGCTACTGTTAAAGCTTACTGAGACGACCTCATTTTGAGCAAGGCTGCTTTCTCCTAACCGCAGAGCATTTAAACCATGTCCTGTGTTCAGCTGCCATTTGAAGAAACAGAACTGGTTGTGGTAAATACCCAGTCTTGTTCTGTCCTGTACCTGTAACTTCTTCCACCTCCATCTATGTGCATATTTATCCTTAGCAGCTGTGAAGTCGTACAGAGGCCTGAGCAGTTCTACTTCTAGCTGGCTGATGCTCCAAGGGCAAGCTAAGGCAGCCGTTGGGCTACCTGCGGTGTTCCTGACACTGTGGTTTGTGGTTATGCTTCCGTGCTGGAGAAAAAGGAAAATTATTCTAAGTGCTCAAGCTCTATTGTCTCATTCCTGTAATGTTTTGTGAGAGCAAAAAGGCAAGAGGAAAATTAGTAACTCTTTGAAAATGTCTTTTGAAGTTTGATATTTGGTATTAGTAACTAGGAGAGTTCTGTAGTTCCTTTTTTTTTTTGTATGGTCTTTGGTATACATCACTGATTTGTAACATTTTTAAACAGATACCTGGCTTAGTAACTCTGAAGAGGCTTTCCTGTGTCAGCTTTGCGGGTGTCGATAGTTTGGATGATGTGAAAAACCACACTTACAATGAACTATTTGTGTCTGGTGGTTTTGTTGTGTCAGATGAATCCGTCCTTAATCCAGAGTCCATCACGACAGGTAAGTGTGATGCTTTCTGAAGCTTTAAAACACAGACAAAAACCCCCTAACACTTTCGTATGCAAGAGAGGTGCCGCACTCATCACAGGGAAGAATCTAGTCTTCCATCTAATTTTTGTGAGGTTTTTTGGACAACTTCAGCTCATTCAGTCTCCTACCTCAGTGGCCTGTTTGGAGAACGTGTTTCTAGGGAACATGTGACCTTGGAGATCCTGTCTCTCTAAGTTTGTGTTAGATTGTGTAGTTATATACATGGAACCTTTTATTTCTTAATCCGCAAACATGCTAGAAAAAAAATACACTGAAAAACTACGTTTTTTTCACTTTTCCTTCATTTGAAATTGTATACTTAAGGAAGTTACCAGTGTTTTAAATAGATATTTGAGCAAGGCAGACCACACATGACTGAATTCAGCTTTTACGTAAGCAGATGCCACTGTTAGGCATCTGACCTACAAAAAAGCAGTTTTAGAATATTGTTGTTGGCTCATCTGCGAGGAAGAAATCCTGAAGTCCTAGGCTGATGTTCATAGTCGTGCAACTGTTCTTTGATCAAAATGGAAAGAAGCCTTTTGTATATACTGAAGCAGTATTTTCAGTTTGCATACCACAAAATTTAACTTCTATTCAATATCTCCAAAACAGATAAACTAAAACAGTTCTTAAAGTTTCTGGAGGATCTCAATACCCCAGATGGGAAATGGCAGTGGAAAGTCCACTGCAAAATACAAAAAAAGCTTAAAGAGCTGGGGAGGTAAGTGGTGTTCTTCAAATACCAGTTGTTCAAGCACTTCAGCTTTAATTGTGCTCTCCAAAACCCAGTTAAGTGGAACTTACTCTTACGTTTGTCTTTTGACTTAATTTTAATATTCAGACTGACCTTAAATCAAGTGTCTGTCTAATAGTTCACTTTTTCCCCCATTGCAGAATGAATGCTAACGCCCTGAGTCTGCTGACCCTTCTCAATACCCATCAAAAGAAGCACTTGGTTGAGATTCTGTCTTACCATAACTGTGATTCTCAGACTCGAAATGCTCCAGAACTGGACTGCCTTATCAGGCTTCAGGCTCAAAACATCCAGCAGAGACACGTTGTCTTCTTAACAGGTAACCCCCAAACTTCTGAATACTTCTCTCCCTCTTTTGATAATACGTGCTAAACATTAATACAAAATCTCCTTTTATGTGTTTAGAAAAGAATCTCAAAACCCTTTCAAATTATGTTGATAATGGAATAGTGGTTGCGACTGTTGATGACTTTATGCAAAACTTTAAAAGTCTCGTTGGGTATCACAACTCGGTTACTGAAGAAAACAGCCTCCCCCCCTCTGATGCTCACAAAAGACAATCAGGTAACGTTAACCGCACTTGTACTTCCTCTAGCTAATCAGCTGCGGGGGGTGGAGGTCCTTGCAATAGCGGCCTTTGCCCTTGTACATGAACGCCGCAGAGGGCAAGGAAAACCCAACTCTCAAGCTACTCCCTTGCTGTGTTAAGTGATGGGGGAGAAGCAGCTGGGACGGAGCACCAAAGGCGATCTTAAATACAGAATTGCAGGCTAACGTGGTGTTGTGCCCCGTTCCCGAGCAGTGCAAGCAGGGAAACAGTAATTGCCTCCTCCCTTATGGCAACTCGCTTCACTGACGATTGTCAGGTGAGTGAGATGGAGGACCGGACCTTGCTCACTGCACTGACTCAGACAAAGGTCAGGCGAGTCTAGCTTATAGCAGCATTTCCATACTTTATTGCACTTAACAATATTCTAATAGCATATATATGGTCTATAGTGCACCCACGTAGCGATGTGGGGAGAGGTACGGGGCATGAGGAGAGGGGGAGAGGGTGTAGGGTAAGCAATAAAGGGGGGTGATACAACCTGTTCGGAATTCCAGCAGCAAGTAGGATGGGGGTCTCAGGCCAGCTGAGGGGAGCTCTGGGGGGCCGGCATTCAGGCCTTTTGTTTGTACCCTCATTAGTGCGTAGTCACAGCGCGTGTAGCCTAACGCTAAGTTCTGCGCTCGCCTACTCGCAAAGCCAATGCCATATGTGGGTTACAAACAAGAGCGGACAGTGCTTAACATAGCAACAGGGGAAAGAGGAACTTCCAGTGGTTCGGCACAATGTTCTCAGTACCACAGTTCTTGAGCACGAGTTGTTATGATCTAGTTAGGTACGCGTGACAGTTTCCTCCCTGGCAGTTAATAGTATAAGCTTCCCCAGGGTAGTCCTGGCTCCTGACATGAGTCTGGGCTGCTCAGGCTCTTGACATGAGTTTAGGCTGCTTCTGCAAGTAGCAGATAAGAAGCAAGGGGAGTGACAGAGGCATTTTCTGCACATTCGAGGCAAGCGTTGACAGATAGCGAGAGGCTGTCAGGCTTCCACCCAGCCCCGCTCCCCACTGTGGCACGGCGATGGCATCCTCGCCTTCAGTGGGTTCTTTCAGCCAGGCTGAGCCTCCTCACATGCTGTTCAAGAAAGTCAGGCCTGTGCCAGCGTGGTGTAACGTCTGTTTTCAGGAAAAGGAAACATGATGATAGCTTTAGAGAGCGTAACAAAAGGACTGAGATGTCAGTAATTGTACTCCTTTAATTGTCTGATCAAATCCTCACCTACTGTGTAACTTCAGATGCTGTTTTGACATTAACCCCTTTGGAGCTGGGAGTTGGGATTTCCCAACACTAAACATGAACACAATGCGCAGAAGCTTTTAGCATCGGAATAACTGGACACTCACACAGAGGGTTAAGTGTGTATGTTGATTAAGTGAACCAGAGTGGCAGAAGACCAAGACTTAAGTGATATTGGACTTGCAGACCTGAAGCGTAACACTGTGTGAGTAGTGTATAGCTTTTCTAACCAAAGTTTGTATTTCAATAGAATAGGCCTTTCTCTTTTTCTTAATGTAGTTCTTGTAGAAAGCGATGAAAAGGATGAGGAGGACATGTCTCTGGATTCAGGGGATGAAACATCACAAATAGAAGTCTGCAATGATGCCTCTGATGCTCATTTGGAAGCTTTGCAGACAGAGGCCAAGGGCTCACATGGAGTAGGTGCAAAAGAAAGCTGCTTATCAGTTACAGAACTCTCTCCTGCAGCACAAATTGGCTTGATGGAAAAGACTCCTAAAATTGACTTGGAAGAGATACAGCCAGTTACTCCCGTTCCTACAACATGCTCTGCTGAAGGAGAAAAACACAACTCAGTTGAACAAGCTCCCTTCAGTAACTTCCAAGTTTATAGTAGACCATTAAACATGTCCCATCAGTTCAGTCACTTTAATGTACTCACTCATCAGACTTTCCTGGGAACAACATACCCCATTTCTTCTGCAAGTCAAAACCAAGAAGGGGGCAATTATTTTCTTTCTGCCTACAGTCAGAGCATGGATACAGAAAAGTCATCATCGCCTGGCGGTTGGGATGTAACTTGTGATTCTTCCAGGCCATATTCAAACCAGAAATAAACTCCTAAGTCTCTTTTTATAAGTTGCTGTGGACTTTTCTGTTTCTAAAATGGTGGATTAACAATTTCTATTTTATTCTGGAACAAAATGTTTCTTGTCCTTTATCTCAAATGTTTTCTTGTCTTATTTAAATCCTGATGGCCTGTACCTGTTGGAAGCATCTGAAAACTGAAATAAATATATATATTTTTTAACATTTACCGTACTTGAATTATCTTGCTTGTTGGCACTTTTAAGTTTCTACATTTGTATTTGACCTGTACCTGGGCTTCAGTTTGAGGTCTGTTTTAATGTAAAACTGAATGTTTGCCTAAGACGTGTGAAACAGCAAGTTTTTTTTAACTGTAAGAGTATCTAAATCACTTTTCTTTACATAAATATCAAAACTTCTGTATTTATTTGACAGTTGACACATTTTGTACAAATGTTTTTACATAGCTCTAAGGTAGTGTAGTTATTTTAATGACTATATACTGGATTTTGGCTAAATACCTCAGAGTAACCAATGGTGCAGTTCCATTACAAAAATAAAATAAACTCTTAATGCACAAGGGACTTGCTAACGCATTGCGTTGTCTGTGGTTTCTATATTGTTTTCAAGGTACGTGAGAGAGAGACCCAAGCTTTAGTTCATGCATAGCGATTATCTGTGTGTCTGATTTCGACACTCTGTGCTTAATACGGCACCATCGAGGTGAGCTTACAACCCTTACCTTGCCATTGTCATTACCCTTGGAGAGGACAAACCTGCTTTAATGACTGTGGCGGTTCAATTTGCATTAGAAAGCACCCTCCCTCCTCTCCCACTTCAGCAGAACCACTACTGGTGCCTTTATTTTTTTTCCCCCTAGGGTTGGGGTAAGTACAGAGTTTTATCTGTTTCTTAATCTTGTGCTTTTTAATTGCACCTCTGCTGAGTTAGAAACTTATTTTTCCCCCGTGCTTCTCTCTTCATTGGCTCACTGGTACACCGGCGCTGCGCTCGGGCTGCTGGGGAGCAGCAGCCGATGGTAAATGGCTGTGGAGGCTTGAGCCCACCCTTGCCGTTTCCTTGCTGGGTTTCCATGTCCCGCTACGCTTCACTCGTATGTTTATTGCTCTTGTCTTCGTCTGCAGTCCTATGCTTGGGGGTTTTTTAACCTGTTTGTAATTTGATTTTTAGTGCTTTTATGTAGGATGTGCAGTTCAGTACTGGATGACTGGGTGTGAAACTGTATGACTTGGAAGTCACAAAATGAGCTGGGACCAGTATTACTGGTTAGAAAAGGGCAGCTTTTAAAACCCAACCAACCAAAACCCAGAGGCTTTTCCCTAAAGTTGATGTCTCTCCTTCTATTAACACTTCTTTATTTGTTTAAATTAAGAACAAACCAGTACCAGACCAGAGCAGTAGATGTTACCCTCGTCCCAAACATGGCTAATAAATAATCTTTTTCAAAAAACCAAACTCCCTTGTATCAGTAAGCCGTACTGGAATTTGTGAAGAACCATTCGCCGCCAGGTGCAGTCTCACCTCCTGCAGGACTTGGCACGTGCAGGAGCGGCCGGGGGCACCTTTATTCCCTTCGCTACTGCTGCACAAGTGCCTTTCAGACGCAGGCTACGCCGACGCAGGGCTGCTGCTGGGAGGAATGGCAGCAGGAGCGTCTGTGGTGCTTCTCACGTGGTACCACAGAACAACTACCCTGAATTCGGGCTACGCATCTTCCGCTGAGATCTAGAAGAGAAACCAGATTACCCTACCTTTTGAAGACTAAAAGCAAATTAAACATTGAATGCTGAGGGGGAGGCACTGAATACAGCTCTGTTCAGACCCTGTTTATAAGAAAACCTTAAACCGAGTTGTACTGCCTTGGGCCCAGCCCACTGTAATGTTAAGTGCTGCTGCTATCCTGCTTTAATATGGGGGGAGGCAGCGGGGGGCTTATAGTCAGTGCTTCTGTGGTCTTAAAATCTGGGGTTACTTAAGCTGATACCCACTGTGTAAGCCTAAAAGCTGACTGAATAGTTAAGTACAAGCAGTTTCATAGAGTTAAAAATACCAACACAGTCCACCCACGCCCTTCAGAACACCTCTTAATCTTTTTATTTATCAAAAGACATACAGGGTACAACAACCCACGGAACGTTTCTATACAGTGTTTTGGTGCCTTATGTGAACCAGACACAGTCTTGGGTTAGCATGAAGACCATTCTAGAGACACACACCATCATTAGTTTAATGTATCTTTAATATAAAAAGCCACATGACCCTATAATTATCAAAATTCACATAACTTAATTCTTCATTAAAAAAGGATCCAGATTGTTCACAATTACAGTAGCCAACAAAGTGCTGTGCCTTTACATTGTTAAGAATTCCAAACATCCATATGTACCTCTCAAAATGGAGACATAAAGTTCTCTTCTTGAGCCATAGTAGGAATCAGAGCAGTCTCCAACTCCTTCTGCTTCTGCAGGAGGCCCTGAAATAAACGGAATATAAATGTGAATGGTCGCTCTTCCTCCTGCAGCCTGAGCTACTGAAGTGTCACTGTTCCAGAGTTTGAAACAGTTCACCTGTTAAGGCTCAGTGCATTTTAACCACACACTGTCAGCAAAGCAGTACAACACAACACATTCAGTGGAGCGGGAACTGAAGGTTTCCCCTCTTCTGCAAAAGACTTGAATCGTGACTGAAGTGGAAGCCAGTGCAGTTTCCAGGGGTGACGGGGCAGAGGACAAAGGACTTTGCCACTGCATTAAATTTAACGCGCTCACGCTGTGCGTTGTCAGTACACTTGGGGTATTCCAGCGTATTCTTGTTATGAAGCTGAACCCAAAATGGTGACGAGCCTTAATGTAAATTACACGCTAAGAGAAAGGCCAGCATTACCACAGCAGCCTCAGGTGCGTCAGGGTATGCGTATTTGCGCTACAGGTAAGAGGTTCCTGCTTTGTTAATGGCTCGCCTAAGTACCAGCCAATGGAGAAAACCTGTAAGAAAAATCTCTTGGCTGTGTATCCTTGTGGATATGTGGTCCGTAACACATGATAGAGCTATGTCAGTGACACTCCTAAGTTTGAAATAAGTCTTTTTACTGTAATTAATGGGATCATGTATCTCGATACATCTGGCCCCTTGCTCTCGCTCCATGTTAGACCTGTCAGAAGTAATTTGGTAGCAAGGAAGTTTGTTTAAAAAAGAAAAAAAATAAGCGTTACAATGGTATTTTTCCTCCAAGCCCTGTCTCAAAGCTATGGGTTACGGGCTGCCGGCACAGCTCAGTATAGCCCATACAACACTTACTTAGGAATTCCCAGTGGTGCAGGAGAGCAGTCGTGCAGAACTGGCTTTGGTTAGCAAAGCAGCCTGGTAGACTTCACTTTGCATCCCCCCAAAAGCAGCAGCTGCCTTTCAGTCACCTGATGAATTGCTTTCCAACTCATGAACAGTAGCTGCAATTTCTATCAATGGGTCAGTGGGCTTGTTCAGGCCCTTTGTCAATAACTACTTTTATTAGAGTGCTTTTGCATTTAGTAGCATGTGACAAAACAAAGTCACGCAATAAATTGCCTTAAATCAACCCAGAGCTGAGGTGAGAAACAAGTAACACTGAAAACTGGAACAAAGTCTATCACGTGGTTTGCACAGGTCTTAAAAGGGGACAATGTGAAGTGTCTGCATCAGGAGGTGTGCAAGGGCTGTCTTTGCACGCCCCCGGACAGCCTGCTGGTGGCTGCCATGATCACTTAGCCACTGTAGGCTACAACCTGTTGGCAAGTGGGTTTACTGCCTTAGTAAAAGTAAGATGCTCTGGCATGTACTGACTGTACCTGGGGGTTTTGTCCTTTTTCTGAAACTTTCGCCCTTCTTTTTCTCAAATACTTAATTCGCTTTGCTGGATGAATAAATTTGGGCTTATTTCACTGACTCAATTTCAGTGAGGAAAACAAGAGTCTGTTGATAGCTCCTATTACTGCTGTCTCCTGAGATACAGGAAGAGGCTTGCTGCCCTGTAACAAATGCAATGACAGATCACCCCTTGGCAAAGGAAGGCCCTCATCTGCCCTCTGTTTTCACTGGTGTCTTCCATGGGCCAGCCAGTTCAGCCAGACTGCTCCTGAAACAGCCTGCCTGTATTTACCTGTCCCTCAGTGGAGTGTGTATTTCAAAGGCTAAAGACTCGTCAGATATGCGGTGAACTACCTGGACAGCAGGCGGCTAAAGAATGGCCAAATATGCTGTGAATATAGATACATTCTGAAACTATCAGTCCTATATATATATATGCATGTATATATAATTTTAAAAAACAAGACTAGATTATCTTCTGAAATAGAAAACTAAACTCTGCTCTTTGTCTAAATTATATTTCATACAAAACACTGCATAACTCTTCCTTTCTCAGTGAAATAACTAATGCAAAACTGTTGTCATTTGTAGAGTATACTGTACTTAGACATACAAGAGACACCTAAGTTCAACAGTTGATGTCCCAAATGCATTCCACAGCTGGTAGGGTATTTAAAAAAGAACTCCACATGTTTTATGTTGACGCTCTCCCAGAACCAAGGACCACTGAAAGACTAACCTTAACATTAGTGTCTAGCCACTCTTAAGACCTGAATATGTACTATGCATCAGAAATGTCCCTAAGCTCCTGCCTCCCAAGTTTGCCAACATGGATATTATCACCTTAAACCTCTTTAAATATCCATGGCCTTTGTTCACCTTGGCAAGCACAAGGATCAAATTGTGCTTTGAAGCTGGCTTCATTCTTAACCAGAACACCACTGGCAAATGAAACCTGAATACAAAATACTTAACAGTTGTAGATACTTAACAAAAATGTTAATGAGTTGGGGAAGACCAGATCCAGTCAAATCTATTTGGAAGCCATCAGAAACTGGCAACTGTTCAGTGTTCTGGGGCTACAACTTTTCTTAATAATTTGGGGAGAGCCATGACCCTTTATTTGCACAAGGAATTTACCTACTACTGAAGCAGGACGTATGTATGTATGTATGGCAGAAGTCTGTCTTTCTAAAGCACAGCAGGTGATTAATAGTGTTAACTACTGGTAGTTTGGTTGTACTCAAGCCTGTCATATTTTCTCCCCTTTATTTTGATAATTTATGCAATTTGTCTCCCTTAAGGCAAAGAAAAATAAATACTGCTGCTAGCAATGAAGTCCTTTTTAGCATGGAGCCATTCAAAAAGAAGGGAAGATACTGATATGCGTTTAGTGTTCTTTGAGAATGAAATGCAAACCTAGAAGTAAATGTGGTTTGGGTTTTTTTTTTGTCTTGCAGTCCCCTGTCAGGCCATTTAGAAGCATAAAAGGAAACTGCTCCTGTGATTGTCCAGACCTGCAGTTTGAATCGACCATGGGCCGCACCTAGTTGCCAACAGGTGGAGTATCAAATTAACTCCTATTTTAGTAGGTAGATGCCTGACAGTTTGTTTCCTGGTATTCTTACTCCAACCAGGAAAATACATAACTTCAGTTACCAGCTATAATCTTCTGTGCTGCTTTAATTTACTGTAATGTGGATCCTTAAAGACAGTCTCACCACATTCAAAATCCTTCTGGCAATCCTGTAGGATCTAATAATTACCAATAGAATAACGTATACAAACATACACAGGCTTTTGTCTCAGGAGCTCCCGTGTGTGTAGCATTAAACTAAATTTTATTTAATATTCTCTCACTAAATATGGCTGATGATTGACAAATCCTGAATTTTACTTTTACACGTTAACAAAAGAATCGCTATCTCAGAAGGATTTTATAAGTGTTCATGCTTCAAATTTGCAAATGACAATATTTTTTCAGGACTGACACTTAACTACCACTGCACCAACCACGCTGCCCTGTCAAGACCGGCTTACCCATTAAACACAGAAGTGCAATTTAGTCAACAAGGGTTCCAGTGTTTTGTTGAAACACTATTCTTTCTCCCCTTGAAATGGAAACATTCTTACTGTAAGTAACCCTACCTATCAAAACCTGGAGACTAAATAAAGCCATTCCTCTTGGTTTCAAGTTTTCTCAGGTAGTCAAGTGTTTCATAGCTAATCTAAGGAGTCCATAGCCTCTTCCCTAAGGACAGTCCAAAGGTGGAAGTAATGCATGAAAAGCGAAATTAGTAAGAGGGAACAAAAGTAAAGGACAGGGCCCAAACATTACCCTATACAACAGAAAAATGAATTAAAGTCTGTAATAAATAAATACATAAGGAATTTGTTCTCAAACCGGCAGATGGGGGGAAGGAAACCTTTTTATCTATTCATAAATATGGAAGAAGGAATGGCATCTGGAGTTTTAACTCAAAAATGGGCAGATAGGAGAAAACCCATAGGTTATTTTTCAAAATTGTTGGACCCTGTCAGTAGGGGCTGGCCCACCTGCTTACAAGCTATAGTGGCTACAGCCCTCCTAGTTGAGGAAGCTGGGAAAGTCACCCTAGGGGGAGAATTAAAGGTATATAC